ATTTGACAGCTTTCCTTATATATATATATATATTTGTATCTTGTTTTCAACTGTTTTTCCAAATATGAAGCCATCTGCATGCTACTGGCCAGTTGTTGAAACCTCTTATATTACTCATCTCATTTTTGCCATTCCCTCCATATTACAGTAACTTCACATATCACCTGTTCCCAGAGCTGTGAGCTGCTCCACTCAAAGCCCGCCTTTGTTTCTTGCACTCTCTGCTGTCGGCTAAACCTGCATCTTCACTTTGTATTTTCTGTGTTTTTGCAAGCAGCTGTCAATCAAACCAAATAAAACGAACCCTCTGGATTCTGATTTGTCTCTTGTTTACATTTATTTTGTATGGTTGTCCCAATGAAACGGTACTCCACTGACAAAAAAGGGTAAAAATAATAAGTTTCACTTCCACTAAATAAGAAAACCGAACTAGCTCTTTAAGTAAAGTTTCACTTAGGGTGAAGTGATAGCTTCTCTATAAAGCCTTAATTTATAAGGTCTGTTATTATATCAAGAAAATAACATGTTTAAAAGATCTGGCTATTGTATTTGTATGCTAATAAACAGACAAAACATGTGGTTGTTGAAGTAGACACCAGAGACTGGTAATTGAGAAAAAATAATAACAATGTTTATCTGAATGTTAAGGATATAATTAGTTTTCCCCATGGCCTGTGGTTTCTAGAAAATATACACTAAATATCCAAAATAAGCAGCTTGACCTGAAGCTAATTATGATCATCTGCCATCTGTGTCTCAAGGTCTTAGCAAATTGTCACTTGTCTGTTTGGTTCCAAAGAATAGCTTTGTGTGACAGCATTTATGTTTAGAGCGTCTAAAGCTTAGAAAAAATGCATGTAACAAGGGGATTTCCAACCCAGAAAATTAAAAATGTATAACGGGAAGTGTAAATGAACAATGTGTGTACACCTGCATCACCACGAGTTCCTCTTTTACTACTTGTCTTTTTTGTCTTTTTTAAAGCGATACAGACTTTTGGTGCCTGCTGGTTGTTACAGGTTTCACTCCTAGGTCTAGACTCTAGATCTAGAGGCATGGTTTTAGATCTCACATAATAAATAATCAACTTTAATAAAGAAACGCAAGTCTTGATATGCACCGTTTAAACTGCGTGCCAATAAAATGTTACATTGTATTGTGCTGCCCTCCTAAATACACTGAGCTTAATATTTTAAATTACACCCAATAATCCACCTAAAAATACTTTGTTGTAATCAAAAAGTCATTCTGTGTGCAGTCACGTGTAATATAGTGAACTTAAGTCAAGTCAACACCCAGCTATCATTATGAAATGGGTATTTATTGAACATTCATCTAACCACACACCACACCATGTTTATATTTCCCCCCCAACAAATTAGGAAAGTGTAAAACAGAGCTGAAGGAAAAACTTTGAGGCACATTGATGAAACCTCTGTGTTTTGTAAAGACTCCTATTACAAAATCAGGATTTGTTGTCAAACTGCCTGTGGAAAATATATTTGTGAATAAACAGCTCCCACGTCAGACTGAGGTGTTCACGCCTCTTCAAGCTCCACCAGTACACCGTCACAGTCTTTAGGGTGGAGGAACATCACTGGTTTCCCGTGAGCGCCGATCCGCGGCTCTGCTGACAGAGTTCTGATGTTCTTTGCTTTAAGGTCCACTATTGCAGCTTTGATGTCGTCTACCTGCAATCAGGAAACAGTTATTTATTTCTCTATCACACTTATAATCGTTAATGCACTGTATTTGCTGTATTGCTGTCCAACGTTTTTAACAGAGAGGGCTTAGTAGTTGTGATGAGGTTTGAAATGTGCAACAAAAGTTTCATAAGTTTGTTTTTATATAGCTTAACTAAATGTTAAATAGTTTAAAAAGACTGACCACAATTTACATTTTTACATATTCAACAGATTATTTTTTCTAATTATTTGTATCGAGTGGATACCTAGAAGGTGTCAGTGCTCTCTAGTGGACAAATGATGCAATTGTGTCTACTATTGGTTGACCACTGCATACATTTGTGTAATGCTTGGTCATATACATTGGTAACACATATATCTGGAATAAGCTTTTATTGATTTATTAATCGGTCAAATAAATACCTTTATACATGATGAATACATTTTTGTTTATTTTGCCAACGAGGCTGTGTTTTTGCTATGTTTGTCGGTCTGCAAGATTTAGTGTAAAATATAGGACCACGTTTCCTGAAACTTGTTTGAAGGTTGAAGCATGGGCCAAGGACAACCCATTAAGTTTTGTTATGGATTGACCCTGGTGGAGATGTGCTTTCTTCATGTGTTCTTCTAATGTTTAGTGATGAAGACACATATATAAAATTCATGTGGCAATATACCAAATACCAAATAATAGTGCTATCATACCCTTAAGGTATGATAGAAATTCAGTTTCTTCAGAATCCGGGCCAAAAGACTACATTTTGGCATGAAGTGGGACAAGATGTTTGTAGCATTAATGTGCTGCTATTATTTTTTGGATACAGGCCATTCAGCGTGTCAGTGCCATCTGGGCCCCGGTGTTGGCCTTGTTCCCGGAAGACATTTCAACATGTACTTACCATTTCAATTATTTTTGTTCAGGCAGAAGATCAGATCTTAGTGGCAGGTGCGTAGGATAACAACTCATGACTATTTCCACAAAATCACTTTAACTCACTTTATTAACACTGACTCAAACTTCAGACTTAAATCAGGCCAAACAGTATAAACTGTGTTACTAATTAAACGAATGGTGGTACAATTATATTAGTATATATTTAATATCTTGAGGTTTCAGTGGTTCTGGTACTGTGTCTGCCGGCTCACTGTCAATATGTCATGACTTACTGATGACGAACAGAGCGACGCATAATGTAACACCTGTGCTTTCCTAAGAATATAGAGTCAAAATGTCTGCTGTCAAGAAAGGGTATTGTTCCTGTTATAAGTTTAGATTTAGCTTATTCAGATTACAGAATGCAATACTTCGTCTACAAGACATGCTTTCAATGCTGTCTTACCTCGATACAAATGTGGTGCATCCCTCCAGACTTGTTTTTTTGTAGGAAGCCAGCGATCGGGCTCTTCTCCCCCAGAGGATGGAGAAGCTCCAGCTTTGTGTTTCCGAGCTCCACAAACACTGTGTAAACGCCATGCTCGGGCAGGGGCACCTTGTCACTCACTGTGGCCCCAAGCACGTCCCGGTACAGAGCCGTGGCCTTCTCCATGTCAGGGACAGCGATGGCGATGTGGTTCAGCCTCCCCAGCTTCCACAGGGATTCAGGTAGGCCCTGATGGAGAGGGGCTGTCGTTGAATGTGCCCTCATGAGTGTGAGAGCAGAACATCTGGAAAGACCTGCCACTGAGTAAACAGATTAAAAATACTGTTGGAATATATATGGCTTTTGTGTTGGAATATTAGTCCTTTAAGTTTTTACATGATACAATGTTCCTCCTTTTCCTTTAAATTTGATTTAAGGTTCACATGTGACAGTCTCACAGTCTCACATATTACTCAGTGTATTCTGTACCAGGTGGTTCTAACTCTTCAAATATATGTTTGTTGTTTACAAAGCAAACCCATTCACAAATCCATCAGATTTAGTAAATAATAGATGTAGTGTGCATTATTGTACACACATTCCCCTACAAATCAGACTGTCATTGGTATCGAGTCTCCAAAGGATTTTAAATAAAGGTATTGGTGGTTTTGAACGAGGGTTTGCTGTAAATCATGACTTTAATGACTGACACACAAACAGTAGGATAAAACTATGATCAAGAAATTCATCAGGGGCCAGGACATAGAAGTAGAGTACTATCCCAACGCTCCAACAAGACAAGCTTATGTAACATTCATATGGTTCAACTCGAGCAGTAACTTTGTGCAACACAGCCAAAGTTAAACACGGTCCTATTTGAGGTTCAATCTATATACAGTCTATGGGTTCAATACATCAGAAAACGACTATACTGCTAAAAGTATGCACTTCTTCTTCTTCTTCTCTCGGTTTTTGGCGGGCTGCAAACAACGTTAAGATGCATACCGCCACCTACTGTAAAAGAGTGTGTATCACCATATCATCCTATCACCACTTGTGGAATTATACCACTGTGAGTGTGTTTACGTTGTTCTAAATTCTTCCAATCAATCCTGTTTCACTCAAATACGGCATGACCGTGGCCTTCCTGGTAGCTCTTACCCCTCACCTTCTGTTCCCAGTAGGGCTATCCCCATCAGGCTCCACTCCCTTCCTGCCTCTCTGACCCTGTCTCTTAGTTTTTCCCTCTCTGTTTTGTACATGTTGCAGTGTAATATGATGTGTTCCACATTTTCTTTCACTCCACACCGCCTGCATTCTTCAGCTTCGCTTTTTCCCATGATTAAACATTGTGCCGTTTAATCCTGTATGACCCAATCTGAGTCTAGTGATGATGATCTCCTCCCGTCTGTTCCTTTCTGCATAGACCTTTCTTATGACTGATTTCTGTAACTTGTGGTATCTCCTCCCTTTCTGATCTTCCTCCCACCTTTTCTGTCATATTTCCATACCCTTCTTCTTCATTATTGCTTTTCCAATTGAAACTGGTATTGCTATTTCCTTTTGTAAAACATATCTTGCTAACTTATCAGCATGCTCATTCCCTTTAACCCCCTCATGTGCAGGCACCCAGCATAACTGCACATCTATTCCCCTCCTCTGAAGTCTCAGTAAGCAATGGTTAAGTTCAATGATTAAATCTTCTCTAACAGTTAGTGTCGAATGTATGCTTTCTAAAGCAGATAGTGAGTCTGTGCATATCTCAGGTCTGACCTCTTCAACCCATTGCAGCCCAATAATTGCTGCGAGTATTTTTCTGCTGTATAAACCAATAAGTTATTTGACACTCGTTTTGAGATTAAAGTATGCACTTAAGACTTGATTACATATATAAACACAAACCAACCTGCAACCTTCAGCACGGCGGACGCCATGTTTGTATGTAGGAACCAAAGACACCAGCGGAACTGTTTCCTGGTGAGCCTGTTTACCTGCAACACAGACAGGCACGCATGTGGGTTTAACGATGGCTAGTGTAGATGTATTGAGCGTGCTGGAGGAGTGCGTAAAGAAAATAAATGCCAACACAGCCCACCCAGAGAGCTTTCTGAGGTAAGTGATTGCTGTCTGTGGGTTTTCGATTTTGAAAAAGCTGTTAAATGTTGTTAAAGCTTATTTAAAGAGACGCGTTTCAACTAGCTAACCGTTAGCTAATGCTAATTGCATGTACTTCTAGCGTTAGCGGCGTGTATCTATCTGTCACCCTGTTGGATACTTCAAGGAGTACAACACTATCAACACTAAAAATCTATCCCTTGCACTTTTTCACCAATGAGGACCACAACAAAACCACCACAGAAAACTAAACTGTATCTACACTAACTTCCTGTTCCTTTCCAGCTTACAGCTGACCTTACTGCATTAACAGTAGTGCTGTGATTGTTATACCTGTTATGTTGCAGGACAACCAGCTGCTGTAATAGTGTTACCAAAGGGAAAAAACATATGAAAATCCTTTCATATTTATCCTGAATCTTACATGACTAAGACCTGAGATATCTAATGGAATTCAGAATCACATAGATAAGTCAGATTTAATAATAATGTATTGTAGAGAGACACTCTTGAATATGCACTGCAAAATGTATGTGTAGGTACCTCACCTGTAAGAGATTAAATAAAAAGCTGCCAGAAAAAAGATAGTTTTGGAAGATTGATTTGTGTGAAATAGCATCCTGTAGTATCTTACAAAACATTTATATAAAATACGTTTTACTTAATATACCATTACTCCATTTTATGGGACCAATGGGGGTTTATGTTTCAGGTGTGTCGGTCAACTCTGCAATCAAAAATAATTTTAACTCAATGTTTTCATTCTATTACATAATACCTACTTAATTTTAATATTCAAGAATATATTGTATTGAGTACTTGTAACCCAGCACTGAACACTAAAACGTCTTGCTTTTAATAATATACTAGACCTGTCATACTGATGTGTGATGTTTGTTTCCAACTTTTCAGCCTTCAGGATGAAGTGGCAGCAGACTTCACATCTCTCACTAAGACCCTGTATGACCTCCACAAAGCCCAGGAGCCTGCAGATTATAAAGGCAGCCCTTTGGATCAGCTGGTGGTGGAACACTTTGACGAAGAGCAGATTTGGCAGGAGCTGGAGCTACAGAACAACGCTGTACTGAAACACTTTAAAGATGTAGCTGAGGAGGCCTTGTCAGATGAGACATTGCATTTGCTGGTAGAGGAAGAGGACAGTGCTGAGGAAGAAGTAGAAACTCATGATGAAAATGCAGAGGATGAGGAGGAGCCACCTAGACAGTCTAAGAAAAAGGCTGTGGAGCCTGAGGACGGGGCCGAGGGTAACACAGATGAGGACTCGGATTTAGATTTTGATGTGGATGCTCTGGAGAAGCGAGAGAAACAGAAAAAGCTGATTGGTATGAAAGCCTCCAAAACAAAGGTGGTTCCCTCTGAGGTCGATGATACATTCTTCAAACTGTCAGAGATGGAGTCTTTTCTTGATGTTATGGACAAGCAAGAAGGAAAAGATGATAAGAACGAAGATGAGCTAGATTATTTTCAGGACCTGCCCTCGGGTGATGACGATGAAGATCTCGGCATAGATCAACTACTTTCTGCCAAAAAACGAAAGACTGTAAGTATTTTTAGCGCACATTCTTTGTGTCCTGATTGTACAGAATACAGAATAAATATTGATCATTGTTTATATTGACAGGTAAAGAGCTCCAGGAATCTCAAGTACAAGGACTTCTTTGATGCTGTTGACGGTGAACCAGCTAAAGCAGGTGAGCAGTCAGATGGCGAGGATGACAGCATTGAAGAAGAAGGTGAAGAAGATGATGAGGCAGATGATTCCGACGGCGAAGAGGAGGGTGATGATGAGTAAGTGTTATTAGATTATACAAAACAGATAATCATGTGTGGGAGAAGCACGTATGGTTGATTTCAGCATGTTTGTGTCTACCGTTTGCCAGCGATGAAGAGGGAAATCAGTCGAAAGCACCCCGTAAGAAAGTGAGCTTTAAACTCCTTGGAGACGAGGACAGCGAGGGAGAGGACTTGGTCGACATTTTGGGAGGAAAATCTGCAAGCTCAGTAAAGACTGAATCAAAGTCATCATTTGAGAAACGGCAAGAAAAGGTAAGAAGCTTTGGAACATTTATTTGGCTGTCTGTGTTGCTCGAATGGGGAGTCCGAATAGAGTTTTAACCTGTTTAACACACTTAGCACAGAACTCTAGGTATAAATACCCTTATTACATATCGGATCTGCACAAACAAGATATTGATTAGCAAGCTGAGATTCCACAGATTCTAGGGGTATAAGTATCACCACTGAGCAATCAGAACTCGCGACAGGGGAAGCAAACACAGACATCACAACACGGAGCTTTACGGAGCAAAAAGGGGGCATTGTCTTACCTATGCTGTTGTTCTGATCAAAAGTTGTGTTCAATGGCATTAAAACGATAAAAACGCTGTTGAAGGTTAATCCATAGGTTAATCCAATGTGTCTGAAATGACACATTGGATGACATTTATGTCAATAACAGATGACATATTTATGTCAATAACAGAGTTTTCATATATAGTTGCTATGAGAGCTACCAGAGTGTATGACAGCTTCCGATTTTGGGCATTCTGCCTACGCATCACTCATTCACCAATGGGTAATGTTTAGTTGGATTTTAGGTACTTCCCCTCGATTCCATTCGCTCTAACGGTTAAAACGAGGTGTCAATCATCAAAATCGACCGAGGGGTGCCAGAGATATGAAAAATGCACCCAAATAACCCCAAAAGTTTTTTATTTTTTATAAACCTCTCTAAAAAGGTAAATGTCACTTGTTTTGCATCAATCTTGATACAGGGTACTTATTATATGTTATAGTGTGGATTCCTAAAGCTTTTAGTCTACTGTTACTGTTCTGAACAAAACAGGTTCAGGGCTTAACAGGTTAAGAACTTTGCTAATTGTTAAAATAAGTTTGAATGAGAAAACATTTTATCAATGAAAAAAAAGAAGGCTAATGGCGCATTTCCACTGCGGGGCCTCGTTTGACTTAGTACGGTATAGTTAGGCCTTGGTAGGCCAGGCTCACTTTATGCTGCGTTTCCATTACCGTTTAGTAGCTGGGGCAGTAACTATCGTAACGCAGTGTAGGCGGAGCCATGGCGTCATCTTCAATGCGAACCACAAAACCAACATCAGCCGTTAGCTGTTAGCACTCAGAGCTCACAGCTCCTCATATCTGTTCAGAAACTAGACAAAAGTTAAACAAGTACAAACCACAGACTGTCTGTGTCATGGAGAATACAGTCGCTGCTTTATTTATGTCTGTATAGGCCAGGGGTCCCCAAACTTTTTCCAGTGAGGGCCACATAACTTTTCCCTTCTCTGATGGGGGGCCGGGTCAGTTTGTAACAGAAAAAGTGTGACGATCG